CCACATTTTCTTTATCCAGTCTCCAGTTGATGGGCAATTGGGCTGCTTCCAAGTTTTAGCTATTACAAATTGTGCTGCTATGAACATGGGTGCACATGTATCACTGTGGTAAGCTTCTTTTAATTCTTTTGGGAAGATACCCAGCAGGGGAATACCTGGGTCAAATGGGACTTCCAATCCAGAGGTGTTATTTTAATGCACGTCACTCATGTTCTAAAGGATCTCTTAATAGCCCTCAAGTGGCATCTTTTCCCCAAACAGGAGATAAAAACTGACCCAAAGATCCAATAAAGCCAAAGTAAAAGTTACATGGCTATCTAGAAACACAGTGCTTCTATGCTATAAGAACTTAGAATGAATTTTTTTCTGCTACTTTTCACTCTTAACATTTCTATTTCATGACTTTTTCTGAAATATCTAGTAAGGCAGGAAAAAGACAATTCCCTTTAATGGTATAATGACTCAATGATACAAATAATATTTCTAGGGTTATTCAGTCAACCTAATGACTAATTTACAATCAAGGCTGACTTGTATTCTAATTCTGTGCTTCTATTTGCCGGTCACCAAACACTCTCAATTCCCTATACAATATGCACCATCGGTCTATACCTGCTCTTCACTCTTGTATCTCCTGTCTAGTGCAATGGCTTACCTACTGGAGGTGCTCACTTAAGTGTTTACTGAATGAATATGAACTATTATGTCAAAAATACCAATAGGTGCTTGGAAGTAGATGCCAGAAGACAAAAGGGAAAATCAGCAAATAAGGCAATGGGATTTACTGGCATTCCAGTAATGAAAACTCAAGGAATCTGGTCTTCTAGAGTAGCAATGCTAATAATTTGATAAGAACTTTAGCAGGTTGATAAAAAGAATAGCTTTTTTAAAATGTGAGGACAAGCCATACTGGAGAAAGAAATTTATGAAAGATGTATCTGATAAAAGACTGTTATAAAAACCTTTCAAAACTCAGCAGGAAAATGACTGACTCAATTTAAAATGGGCAAAAGAACTGACAAGATGCTTCACCAAAGACAGATGGCAAGTGAGCAGCATACGAAAAAATGCTCAGTGCCAATGTAGTTAGGAAACCACAAATTAAAACAATGAGATACCACTACACATGTAACAGAATAGTCAAAATCCAGAACACTAACACCACATGCTGGCAAGGATGGGAAGCAAGAACTCTCCATTTGTCCTTGGTGGAAAAGCAAAATAGTACAACCACTTTTGAAGACAGTTTGGTGGTCTCTTACAAAAGGAAATATAACTCTTATGTAATTTAGCAATGATGACCCTTGATATATAATCACATGAGTTGAAATTTGTATCCGCACAAAAGCGTACACAGGATGTTTATAGAACCTTCATTCTTTTTTTGTTTGTTTTTTGTTTTGGTACCGGGGATCGAAATCGGGTCCTTGCGCTTGCGCAGCAGGCGGCGAAACCACTGAGCTAAATCCCCGGCCCACAAGCTTCATTCTTAATTAGCAAAAATTTGGAAGCAACCAGTGTCCTTCAGAGCCAAATAAATGGATAAAGTATGAAATACTCAATGGAATACTGTTCAGCATTAAAAAGAAATGAGCTATTGACCCATGAAAAGACATGGGGAATTTTAAATGCACATTATTGAATCAAAGAAATTAATCTAAAGGGGGTCCACACTGTATGATGCTAACCATACGATGTTCTGGAAAAGACAAAACTATAGAGACAGTAAAAAGATCGAGGATTGGGGGTGGGGTGGGAAAAATAGGCAGAGCATGGGACTTCAGGGCAAAGTACTGCTCTGTGTTCAATGCTATAATGTTGGACAGATGCTATACATCTGCCAAAGTCCACAGAAACTACTCTATAGTCTAGTTTTTATAACAGAAAAGGGATAGTTTATGATGTTTCATGAATAAGTCGTTAGGATCTGATTTTAGCTGTCTGCACTCATTCTGCTCAACACCTCTACTGGCCTCTAAGAACTTAGGGGAAAAAATGTTCTATAGTCTAGGACCACGTTTTTGTGCTTCAGATTTTATTAAATTTAACCTGATGTACACTATTTTATTTCATTCCAAGATAATTTCAAGTAGATGCTGGGGAAAAGAATTACATGTGAGAAGCAGGAAATGAATCATTTTTCTATGAAGGAAACCACTGACTATATTCCAAACTTTGGGCAGATGTATGTAATATGTCACATTTTATTTATCCCATTATCAAGCAGAGCTCCTTACTGAAATTCTTCACGCCAGATTTGTATTCACACAGGCTTTGTATTTGGCTCCATTTAGTAACACTACCACCCATTGATGTTAACTGAACACCTATTACAGTGGACCCTGGAGTTATGACCAGCTTCATATACAAACAACTTGAGTTATGACTGGAACTTTAGTTTTAACTTATGACCAAAGTCTTGAATTATGACCTGAGACCTAGTAAGCCAGAAGCAGGTCCTAGTGGGCTACAGACTCAAGGAAAGGACACCAGAGAGCCAGATTCCTGAAAGAGGACTCTCCTTCCAAACAATAACCGCCTTCCATTTCATCCTCCCTTCCTGCAAGCCAAAGATGTCAACTTGAATAGTGAGTACAGGATGAAATTGTTGTTTCTGGTAAACTAAGCACATAAAATAACTATTTGGTGAATATATTAGAAAAATTATTGGTGTTTCTGGTAAATTACACACATTGTACAACTCTTTTTTATTACGAAAAAGTTACTTAAGGGGTGCTTTGGGAGGTTCAGAATGCATTATAGGTATTTCCATTATTTCTTATGGGAAAAAATCTTGACTTACAACCAACTTGAGTTACAGTCAGCCCCCATGAACCAACTGAGTTCGCAAGTCAAGGGTCCATTGTACATGCCACACTTTATGTCTGATACTTACGTATTTTATGTATTTTTCGCAGTTCTCACATTGACCGTATAGGACACATTAATTTTGACAAGTGAACATTAGCCCTTTAAGGTTATATATCTAGTGAACACAACATTCAACATTCAATGTGAAGTCTGCCCACTATAAGGCCTAGCTGCTTTTCATGGTACCACACTGTAAAGTTGTCTTGGAAGGATGACAGAAGTTATTAGCCTTCCTCCACTCAATCCAAGCCAGATGGCCCAGGAGTGAAACACAATCCCCGTTTGGTCAGGGAGCATATCCTAACCTTTCCTTTGGAGTGATTTGTCTAGGAATGGTCCAATCAGACTCAACTCTAGGCCTTCCATTTGAATCACTACAGGAGACACTCTCTTTTTACTGGTGCTGCTGAAAGGTTAAGATAATAAACCTGGAGATTTTGTGAGTCATCTTGCTCTTTTAAGAGTGCCTGAGGATGGTGCTAACAGATAAATCACAGGCATAGAAAACAAGCCCTGTCACATTTAGATCCTGCTGTACTTAATTTCAGTTATGCAAATTGTAAATTTCTTGTGTGTATGTGCGTGTGTGTGGAGCAGGAGGTATACACAAGTATGAGGTAGGTTTCCAATCTTTTACATCCCAAAATATGTTCCTTATTTAAAAATGTATAGTTCAAACACAGCTAATATGATACAGGTAGTATGTAAAACAGTTTGGCAGCTCCTCAAAATACTAAATGTGATATAAGTTATAATGTGACTTTGCAATTCTACCACTAGGAATTCGAAGTATATGTCCACAGAAAGTCTCATAAACAAATGTCATAGCAGTGTTCATAACAGCCAAAAAGCCCAACTAACTGATGAGTGGATGAGCAAAATGTGGTGTACCCACATAATGGAATATTTGGCAATAAAAAGAAATGAAATATTCTTACATGCTACAACATGGATGTAACATTATGTGAACATTATGCTAAGTGTAAGACAGAAGCTCACTGTAAAAAAAAAACCCCACATATTACTCCATTTATTTAAAATGTTCAAATCTAAAAAGAGTAAATCTAAAAAGACAGAAAGAATATTAATCATTGGCAGGGATGGGCATGGGGTAAAGACTAATGTAGACTGTGTACAGGCTTTCTTTTGGGGGTGATAAAAAATATCCCCCAAAATTAGACAGTAAAGATGGTTACATATCTCTGTAAATATACCAGAAACCAATGAACTGTACACTCTAAATGGGTGAATTCTATGTATGATATGTGAATTATGTCACAATAAAGGTGCTATTATAGCTTGGCTTTTAAAATTTTAATTATACTTACATATTACCATTCAATTACTATTCTACTACTGAAAATATAAATTTAGAGTACATGAAGGATTTCCTCCAATTATAGGATTCTAAATTGTCTTATACAAAACACATTACAATATTTTTAATGAAGATAAAAAAGTCATCAAAGAAATATTACAAAGAAAAGAAAAAAACAAGGTTAAAATTATACAGTTTTGATACTTTAGGAGACATAATTAGAATTTTTTATAAACTTAGCTAAACAACTATACAATAATATTTAAATAAGTTCATTTGTTTAATACAAAGAAATACCCTAACACAGTAGAGTCTCATAATACTTTGGCAAACATCAATTTGATGCTTTAGGATTTTAATGCGTTGTTAATAAATTTTCCAACTCAGGCAAGTTTAGAAATGTCTTCATATTGAATTCCTTCAACTCTGCGTCCTTTTAAAGGGCCCTAAAATTAAAATAATTTAAGAAAAGATTAAAAACATATGAATTTTAAAAGATTTAAAAAATGACATCACATTTATGGATACAAATTTATCTTTTCCATATCCTTAAAATATTATTAAGGTCTCGAATGTTTCTATACACCTATAGATTTAAAAAATAATCTATGGCATTCCAATTTTTTAAAAAGCTATTTTCTTCTATGCTATTTGAAAAGTGGTATCAGTAGATACTGCGATAGCGACCAGCTGGCTGCGGGACATCTCGCTGCTACATTTCCTTACTCCCCTAGTGAGTAGGTGTGCCTAGAGAGGAAGCTCCCGCCCAGCCCAGGAGTGAACACACGCTAGGCTTCCCGTGTGATCTGCTGTGCTCCTCTGTGGCCTCCCTGACCTGCAACTATGGATGTCACTTGTTGAATATGACAGAGCCATTGATTGAAAGGACCCTGCATACACAAGTTACCATTTAGAAAAGGGCTATATTCTGATTTTTAAAAATTCACTTTTGAGGCAAGAGGATCACAAGCTCAAGCTGAGCATGGACAATTTAGTAACTTAACGAGATCATGTCAGAAAATAAAAATAAAAAGGGCTGGGGATGTAGCTCAGTGCAAAAGCCCTGGGTTCAATTCCAGTACCACCGAAAAAGACAAAAAGAAGAGTACCTATTTTTGACTTTTAATATTTCTACCATGTTTGTTCCTTTATCTATGGGGGGGATAATTTTATGGCTAATATTTTTATAAGCAATAGAGATATTCAAACTTGCTTATCTAGATAATAGGGCTGGTCTATATTACAGAAAATGGGTCCAACTTTCTCCTTCCCTTCATATCCAAAAAAAGGAAAAGGAAAAACTTCCAAAGCAGAGACAACCTGAGCACACAGAGCCTCAGAGTATAGGCTCTTGGCCCAAACTGCCCAGGTTCAACTTCCACCTCCAGCAATCGCCTGCACATTTCTGTGTCCCCAGTGGGGGTGACAGTAGTGCCTGTATTCTTGAAGTGTTGGAAAATATAAACAAATTAATACATATTTAATGCTTAGAACAGTACTTGGAATGAGGAAGGGGTCAATAATTTTCAACTGTCATTATTAAGTCTTTTGGTTACAATTAGGAAGATGATCTTCTCCTTACCAAAGTACAACACAATCTCTAAACCTGTGCTGAGATTTTTAATATTTTTAACTGAGAATCTTGGCTTCTTTTGAAAGTGCTTTTTAGTGTCAATCTTTTAAAATAATGATTATTATTTAAAGGAAATGAGTTCCTAGATAAAGCACAACCTAGGTTGAATTTTTCATTATTGTGTTTAAAGCTCTATAGTCAATTACATGTTTCTGATAACTACAGATCTGGAGAAGGGAGCCATACACTGGGCTTCATTAAATAAAAAGATACAAAGCTGAGGCTGTTTAGGAATAATTTATTAGCTATTAAAAATCTGCTGTCAGTACTCTGCCATAAAGAAGGATGAGCTTCAGACATTTATAGCTAAACGGATGGACCTTGAGACCATACTCCAAAGTGAAATAAATCGGACACACATGTTTAAACACTACACGGTTTCTCTGGTGTGAGAAATCAAAAGTGGAAATAAGGACTGAAATATATAAAAGATACTGGGAAATGGGAAGAGGAACAAGGGAGGAGGGAGGGAGAAAGGAAGGAAGGGACAAGAAAAAAAGTGAAAATAGGAAAAAATGGAAACGAAGCTTTTGTACATTGGCAGGTGCAGGGGCTTGAGGGGAAGGGAGGGCAGGGGCTTGAGGGGAAGGGAGGACATGGGAAAAAAGGGGCGGGATGTACCATGTGCAGGTGCAAATTCCCTATGAGTGTTACCATTATGTATGCCTAAAATGCACCAATAAATGTTTTGTTATTTCAAAAAAAAGAAAGTATCTAAAAATTTTTTTTAAATCTACTGTCAGAAATGATAAAAATAGTGGGAAAAACCACTAGAAAAGTTTTAGGGACTCAAAACAAACAAACAAAGAGAAACACATGCACATATAAACAAACATTTTTTTAAAATGGGGTCAAGGGAAAAAAAAAAGAGATAAAGAACCAAAAGTTGGAAAACAGCCTGGCATGGTGCCACATGCCTGTAATCCTAGCACTTGGGAGGCTGAGGCAGGAGGATCACTGTGAGCTCGAAGCCAGCCTAAATTACATAGTGAGACCCTGTTTCAAAACCAAAAAAAAAAATTGGAAAATAAGATTTCCTCTTCCACAAGTACATGTTCCTTGGCAACCAGCTAGAAAGGTTTTCGTGTGGTTTTGCTCATAGGTTCTATCTCAGTATCACCCTGTGAGCAACTAAAGCATCAGAAAAACAACATGAAGCTGTGAGTTTATTAGTGACAGAAGTAAGAAATTGGCTTTTGATAAAAATAAAACGACTTGGGCTGAGGATTTAGCTCAGTGATTCCACCACCTGCCTCAAAAAAGCAAGGTCCTGAGTTTGATCCCCGGTACCAAAAAAAAAAAAAATACAAAGACAGTACAGACAAGCACAAGGACCCGAGTTCGATCCCTGGTGCTAAAATAAATAAATAAATAAATGTGATACTCGAGCAATACAAGAAGAAACAAAGACAGGACAGAAACAGACCAAATATTAACAGGGGTATTCCCTGGGTTGGAGGATCACAGGTGATTTTTAGAATTATTTATATTCAATAGTAATTTTCAAGTTTTATACAATGAGTACAGATTCCTTTTGTAATGAGAAAACAAAATCCTTCATCAATGGCAGAATTGTCAGAGGAAAATTAGGTTGCAGATTTCTTCTAAATGGGATAGAAAGCCAGGGGTAGCAGTGCACACCTGTAATCTGAGCATTTGTGAGGCTGAGGCAGGAGGATCACCATGACTTTAAGGCCTACTTGAGCTACACCGTGAGGTAAGTTCAAGGCCAACCTGAACTACAGAGCAAGAGCCTGTCTCAAAACAACAGCAAAGACCACAACAACAAAAAATCATCTAAATGGGACAGAAGGCAAACAAATAACCCATACTCTAAAATAAACAGCAGTCAAATTAAAAAGAACTAGAGAAATATTTTAAGACATTTTGAGATTTTTGTCTTTGCTGAGCAAACTTACAGTTTCAATGACTATAGTAGCTGAAAAAGTCTTTTCATTGATGGATTCTAGGGTACCTTCATTTCCTCTGTAACCTCCATTTAAAACTAGAATTCTTTTTCCTATAGTAGAAAAGAATATAAAATTTAATGCAAAGAAATGTGTACTTTTTTTCTACTCTATTAAACCAAAATGCCTTACACTGAATGAACATATGAAAACTGAAACTGTTCTCTTAGAAGTTCTTCACGTAAGAAATGGGTAGTATCCTAGAGTGTACTTTGTAAACACTTTAACATTATATGACTCATTTCTCATTTATTTGTTAAAGGAATAGGTTTTTAGATTGCAAAGAGTTCAAGGCACTTGGAGAAAATGTTCAGAGCCCAGAAGCATTCAGGAAAAATTTAGCTTACTTTAGCACTTATTTTGTCTCTTTTCAAAATTCTTAAGATAGCTTGGCAGTTTTATAAATATTTAAGCGATATGACTGAACTATTTGAAGTGTTTTCCCAAGAGAAAACAAATTACAGTATATATCCACATAAAGACTTGTAGAGGAATGCTCATAGTGGTTTTATCCATATCTATCAAAAACTATGAATAACCCAAATGTCTATCAACAGGTCACTGGATAAACTGTGGTATACCTATCCAGTGACATATTATTCAGCAATAAAATTAACACAAACAATAACAGATACACACAACAACATGGGTGAATCTAAAATCACTGTGTGAAGTGAAAGAAGCCAGACCAAAAGAAAAAAAGAAAAAACAAGACACATAATATGATTTGACTTATATAAAATTCTAGAAAAATATGAACTAATCTAGAGTGACAGAAAGCAAATCTTCGGTTGCCTGGGAAGGCAAGGTAGCAGGAGTAGAGGGTGGTAGAGAGAGATCAGAAAGGTAAATAAAGGTGGATATTATTTATCTTGATTATACTGATCGTTTCAATGGATTATTCATATCTGAAAACTGATCAGTGCATTTTTGATGTAAGTGTAATTTACTGTGTATAGGGCTGTCTGTATCACTGAAAGCTCAAAAAAGTTCACCATCACTTGGTATATATGTCAATAAAGCTGACAATACATTTTTTCTAACTTATAAGAAGAGTTTTATTTTAGAAGAAAAAAGAATAAAGAATATAAGTGGAGCTGGGAGTGGTAGCATACACCTGCAAGGAGGCTGGGAGGCTGGGGCAGGAGGATTATAAGTTCCAGCCCAGTCTGGGCAACTTAGCAAGATTCTGTCTCAAAAATTTAAAAAAAAGGGGCAGGGGCTATAACACAGTGTGAAGGCCCTAGGTTAAATCCCTAGTACCAAAAATAAAAAAGAATATGTAAGTGGAAGTTTCCAAGACTGACATCAATGTACCAGAATGATATATATCCCCAAGAAGATTGAGTCAGAGGCAAACTGTCTAACCGAAGTACGCTTTACACTTAATATGAAAAAACAGGAAAAAGTAAGTAGAACAGACTTCTGACTATCTCAAGTAGCTAACCAAATATACTAATAAGTCTAATATGACTGATTTTATCCATATATATCTGTGTTTGGCCTCAGGGGTGGGGGATATATTCTGGAAAGGGAAAATACATTTATAGCACAAAATCTCTTGATCAGATGACTCTTATGCTCCCTGAAGTCATATGGGGATTTGTTACCTCAGCAGTTAATATTTCTGAAAGGGAACCATGTCTACAACCATCAAGTTATATCCAAAAGCTACGGTTTTAAGAATTAAATCTCTCATTTTGATGGCACATGTATTAAGTGGTCTGCAAACAGATTTACCTGGTGCTGGAATTACTGTCTCTAAATGAGTCTGGTCAAGTTTCAGCTTGTCTCCAGAATCAATCATCTTTACAACAGCTGTGTATTTGTCAATTACTTCCTGTTGTGTAAAATGAATACTTTTATAATAGAAGAAATATGTGAATGTGAAGTTAAAAGGACAAAATTAAAAGCAAATGAAATTCTAATTAGATGATAAGAGTTAACTCTTACAGTTCTCAATAAAGAATTCAAAGCTTAAAGTTTTCAGCTGGAAAAAAAATGAAAACGGTCATCTTAGAATAAGAATTTAAGAAATTTAAATTTAAGAAACCTAGGAGGGGCAATTTTGCCCAGAGCAAAAGGGCAGTTTCTATATGCACAAGGCTGGGTTTTAGAATGAAACTGTATTTAGGAAAATCAAAAAAGAGAAGGGGCTGCAATTTCAAAATCAGGAGCAGCCAAGATAGTTCCCACAACATTACACAAGAAAGTCCTTGTTCAAGTGGTAGGGGAATATTGCCCATCATTAAACAGAACAGGTTTTTACTAATGAATTAGCAACACATGCATGCTGAGTTTTTTAAGTGGTACCTAGGGGATTTCATATACACTATTTGGCCAGCAAGAAAACAGACCAAGGTTAAGTACAGTTGGACGAGAAGCATTTCTCTAACAAGTATGTATTCAGATTTCATTTTATAGAATAATCAGAACCCTAGACACAAAACTTGGGCTACAAGGATTTAATTTGCAAGGAATTTCAAAATAGCTTCACTTGGTTACTCACCAGCTTTTTTCAGAAATTCAGTACATAACTTCATGTCCTCACCTTAACGATACCCTTTTTCTTATGGTATTTCTCTCCAAGTTTTTTGGTTATAATTTTCACAATGATTTCCTAGAAAATAACAGCAACAAAAATAAATATTTAAAAATGAATGAAATGATATAAATTTATCTTTTATATTTTACTTCTTCTTTTTAAACTACATTCGCCAAAAATCATAGTAAAATATAACTGGTCTACTAAATAAGCAAGTAGGGAGCTCTAATCTTTCCCGATGGTGTAACCTTTTGTTAGTAATCTCTCTCTCTCTCTCTTTTTTGCTTCACATGGTTATCAAGGGGGTGAAGGGACATAAAATCGCTGATTTCTACAATGAAATTAAATTTAGGACTTTTTTTGTGTGTTACCAGGGACCGAGCCTAGGGCCTTCACCCTGAGCTACATCCTCAGCCCTTCTTAGTTTTAATTTTGAGAGAGTCTTACTAAGTCACTAAATTGCCCATGCTGGGGTAAAATTTGCAATCCTTCTGCCTCAGCTTCCCAGAGTCCTGGGATTACAGGCATGTGCTGCCATGCTCAGTTAAGATCTAGGACTTTTATCTGTGAATCTCCACCCCTTTAGTTCCTGTCTGCCATAGATAGCTTGTTTCTCTTTGTTCATTCAAGACAGTGACAAGTGCCAAGGACATCACATTTCTGGTGTTTGCTGCTAATAAAAACTGATTACAAGTTTTACTGAGGATTGTAAAGAGGCTTTGAGCTTATGCATGATACTTTTCACAATGTTCTTTTCTTATTAGGTTTCTCTGAATTTTTCATATAAATGGATCCCTCCAGATCAGCTTTAGCTAAAACTACTGTTCTTCTGAGAATCTCATCACGAATAAGAGAGAAATTTGGGCTTATGTCATATTAATGAAATCTAAATTTGCTGTTTGATTGTTGTTTCTGTGATTTGGATTATCTAAAAGCTAATAATGCAATTAAATTGCCTATATTCACTTCAGGGGAAGGCTATTTAATAGTAGAAATACATGTTTAACAGAAAACATCAACGGTCTTACTCTTATGGCTCTACTCTGCTAAGACTTTCTAACTGAGGCCAATTAATACCCAAACATCTCTGATTCAACCATAATATTTCTAGGTTAAATTTCTCAAAGACTCTTATGGGATAATACTCTAGTTATCTGAAGATAATTCGCCACATCACTGTTCTTACTGACCCTTACAATAGATCTGTTCAAACTATTTTTTTCTGAGTTTAAGAAATAAAGCCCTCCAAGTCTGTCTCTGTGAACTGCTGGTTATTTTAATAAACTTGGTATCCATTCCAAAGCAGGAGATACACTGAGTCATTAGTGCAATGTTGGCAGAGTAAGTAAGACTTTTACCGTAACACTCCATATGAGGAACAATGAAAAATATGCACTTGCAGTAGAAGAAAATTATCCAATAGAAAATAAAATTTAATTGCAAATATTGCCAACACAAAGAAAATCTGTGGGCTAAAACTTGAAGTGCTGTGCCTTTTTCCCCTATCTTTATTGGTTTTCTCTTTCTTTTAAACCAACAGTTCTTAGCCAAGGCAGGATCACTTGGGAGGTGGCTAAAAAGCTGTACTTCACCCCAGGAGACTGGATGCAGTAGTATGGAATACATGTATTTACAAAAAAAAAAACTCTTAAGAAGTTTTGAATTATTCTCTGGTTAAACTACTGCTTTAAGCAAAATTCTCTATACTGTTTGTTTTTATAAACAATAAATGAAACTATTAATGTTCAAATGCCAGCTGCTCTAACAGGGAAAACAAATCTAAATAATTCATAGATTGTTTCTTCCCTATTGGTTCTTTCATTACCAATCTTTTAAGTTAGAAAATTAGATTTTTCTCTCCCATGAGATATTCCTGAGTTTCCAATGACCTAAACTTTTACTCAAGATCAAGCCATCAGTGGGCAGAACTACACGGTCAAGGAGAGCAAACCTGTGGAATTAAGATTGCCAGAGAAGCCCTGACTCCTCACTTAATAGACGACCTTGGAAAAAGTATTTTATACCTCAGTTTCTATATGTAAAGTGGGAGTAATAACTGTAATGATCTTAGAGAGCTGTTATGAGAATTAAAATAATTCATATGAAATGTTTATTTTGCATTTAACACACCAAGTATTTTCACATTAGATAACTTATTTCATGATCCTTCACTTGATCACAGTGCTTCCCATCATGAAAAAGATAAATCAACACATAGAAACAAGTATTTTCACACTAGAGGGAGAAGGACTATGAAGAATTGCATTATAACTTCATGGCTTTTCAAGATTTTTAACCTAATTTCCCAAATCAGAAATTATCTAAATAATATTTTACTTTTCACTTCCCTATCGTTGATCAAATCAGTGCTTGAAGAAAAACTAAAGGGCTCAAAGTTGTAGGAAAACTTCACATCTCAGTCCAAAGTAGAGCACTGGTAAATAATAACTTAAGAAATTATAGTAAATGTTTAAAAATTACCTTAAATTTTAAAATAAGCAATAATCAATATGCAGTTAAACATAGACCTTCCTGGAGTTTGTAAATTAAGACCTGATTTTTTTCTATAACATCCCTAAACAGGTATTTTAATAAGCCATAAATTAAAAACCAATACTTTAGTGTTTACAATTCTACTTTTTAATCTCATTTCTAAAAATGCATTCTTTTGCCTTATAGCAAAAATCGCCTGCAATTTCAGGCTCAAATTCAAGATGTCCATCAACAAATTTAGCACTAAACTCAAGCTACATTACCAGACCATAAACATGAAGTAACCCTCCAACACACTGCATTCAATAGCTAAAGGTCCAATAGAGAAGAAAGTCATTGTAAGTTATAACTAACCTATAACTTACATGTATTTGAGACATTAAGCTAGTTAGACTAAATGCTAGTTAAATCATTTAAGTCATTCACTAAATGTGAACATATTGCTTAAGAATTTCCAATTGAATACTCACAGGCTGTAGCCAATAGTCCGTTCGAGAAGTTCTTTTCTTTTCCTCTTCAATCTGTAAAACACATGAGACATTCAAAAGATTATCTCTTTAAAATCCTTAATTTATTTCAAAATGGCCTTCTGTTTTACAAAATAACACCATAAAACTCATATTCCAGGGTCGGGGATTTAGCACAGTGGTTCCATTGCCTGCCTCGCAAGCACAAGGTCCTGAGTTCGATCCCCAGTGCCAAAAAAATAAAAACAAAAACCCATATTCCACCAAAGACTAATGACATAATTTGCAAGCTCTGATAAACACAAATAAACATTATGTGTAATTAGTTTCTGACTGGAAAAGAAACCTTGAATATTAAAATGTATGTCATAAAACAAATTAACTGACCCAGAAAACAAAACAAAACAAAACAAAAACTCTATTCAGTCAATACTGCAAGGCCATCTCCCGGGACTAATACATGCCCTCCCTGTGCCCTCCTATCCTCCTATGTGGGTGTCACGACCTGGAAACAGGTGACTTTTTCATGTGGTAACAATACGTGGACCAACTGAGAAGAGCATGTCAGGGAGGTAGTTTGACAACAAAAAGGAGGTTCCCAGTTTGACAATGACAATAAAGCTCATGAATGAAAAGGAAGAGATGTAAATTAAACAGTGACCAACACTATAAAGTGCTGTCTGGCTCTTAGGGCTATACTGTATATCATAACTTTCTCCACTGCTTAAACTTAACCCCACAACCAACTTTCAATGGGATCCAATGACATTATTCTTTAGTTCATTCCAAAGCTCATTTAAATTCTTCAACTTCCCAATACTAACAAAGAATATTTTAAATTTAGCATGTATTGTATATACAGTAGACAGATCTGGCTTTCTGTTTTCTTTGAATTAAAAAATATTTTAAAATTCCCTAAGGCATGTGAGACCCCTGTAGTGTTGCCCCTACTTCTCTCTTACTTTAAATGCTACCATCATGAGCTTAGTACGTTCCAGCTACTTGACTCGTGATCTTTTCTGCCTTTTCTCCCAATTCCTCACCTATATTCCTCCTTAGCACTTAGGTCTTACACAGTTTTATTTTTCGTTTACTTCTTTTCAGAATGGCTTCCACATTATGAACAAGACTATTTTTATTGCTATTATACAGACCAAGGACTCTGTACATTTCCCACTACACAACAGCAATTTGATAGTCAATGCATGATGGAATTACATCATTTCATAGTGTATCCATCTTTTATTTTTTCTTTTTTAGTTTTTTGAGACAGTGTCTTGCTTTATAGTTCAGGCTGGCCCTGAACTCACTATGTAGCCCAGGCTGGCCTCAAACTCGTGGCCAGATCCTCCTGCCTTCCGAGTGCTGGGATTACAGGTGTGTGCCACCACACCTGGCAATAGTGTATCCATCATATATATACATACATATATATATGTATGTATATATATGTGTGTGTGTGTATATATATATGTATGTGTATATATATGTGTGTATATATATATATGTATGTGTATATGTATGTATATATATATGTGTGTGTGTGTATATATAATATACATTTTTTTTTTGGTACCAGGGATTGAACTTGGGTCCTTGCGCTTGCGCAGCCAACGGCGAAACCACTGAGCTAAATCCCCGGTCCCCCATCTTTTTTTTTTTTTTTAAGCTTTTAGGCTGCCCTGCACAGTATGAGGACTAGTAAGAGAGAAGGCAATTCCTTCACAAATGAAGAGATGGAGAGACTGTAGGAAAAAATACTAAAGGGGAAAAAATTAGCTTCTTATATCCATTCTTTCTCTTTCCTTGACTTTTCTCTTTTCTTCTACTTATTTTATAAATTCATTGATAAGGTAAGCTTGAAAGCTATGAGTTGAAAGACAGAAAGAATATTTAGAACACATTAGGAACTTTGTGCAGTTTCCTTACAGTCTGGGGTAGATTTAAAGCCAAACTTTGGCCCTAACTCCAGATAATCACATATTTTCTTTTTTGGTACCGGAGATCAAACTCAGGACCTTGCACTTGTGAGGCAGGCGATGGACCCACTGTGCTAAATCCCCAGCCCTCATATTTTTAATATTTCATTACATAAACTTAGCCACCAGGTTAAATCAAATTAAAAACATCCCAGCTTTCTCTTGCTAGCTTGGGCATGATACGTGGAAATCAGAGGCAATAGAAGAGTATGAGCTGGAGGAAGTAGGGCATCCACAGAAGATCCCATTTCAGTTACACTAAGTCCTTCTAGCTGAACACTACTGATCTAATTGCATAGGGAGTTTCAAAGACAGCACTTAGGACTGGGAAATAAACATACTGAGGGGGCGGCTCTGTCCAGATCAAACAGCAACCAGGTTTCTTTTCCCTAACTTCATGTACAAACATTTTTATAACTTTATATTAATCTAATAAATGATAAAACTATGCCAATTTCCTTAGGTTTGAATTGTATCATTCCTCTAATTGCCAGGTGTCTATAAGGAGTAGCTCATAAACCATACCTCCATGATTTCATCAAGTGCAGATTTCTTTTTCTTCTTTTCTTTAGTCTGAACTGAGCTCTGGGAAGATTCTTTCCGTTTCACTGATGCTGTACTCCCGAGCACCTTCAGTGCACTTGGCCCCAAAGAACTGATGAACAGAAGAAGAACCGTGCATGTTTGTAAGAACTACACACAGGCGCAGGTTTTATAATGGGCAAAATTAACAATACACAATAAATGTTACATGGCTCATTTTGGGTAGATCAGGAAGAAGAGGAAGAGGAAGAGGAAGAGGAGGAGGAGGAGGAAGAAAGATCTGTCTGTATCTCTCAGGGCAGTTGGCACAAAAGAACCTTTACCCTGTCCTATCATTTATTCCATTTTCTTTTCTCTTCATCCTTTGGTTAATATTGCTATAATTAGCATAGTTGAATGGTGGTAGAAAAAGCTTCATTTTGGGAAACAGCAGGTTTTGAGGCTCCTTGCGTTAGGACCCTTAGAAATTTACTTTTTAAAGCTTCAGATCCTCATGTATACACAGGAATAAAAATATAACCCAACGCATAGCTTGAATGCAGATTGAATGAGATGTTTTTAAATAATTGGTAGAAGTTTAACACTTTACTATCAGTTGTTTTTTAAAAGCAAAGACTTCAACCTATCAAAAGTTTTTGATTGTTCCTGTCTCCTGTTGATAGGGTAAATACAAAATTCTTTGGTGCCAACATACAGTGGTCACCAGAACACTGTTCTGGTCATTCTGAGCAATTTGCTATTGACTGGACCATGCCATGTGCTTCACGCCTCTGAAAACTTGCACATGTTTTTATACCTATAATCATTTTTAAAGTCTCCATTTGTTAAAATTCTTTACAATCTATTACTCATGAAGGTTCCTGGGTCTTCTCCTTGTCCTGTCCTAGCACTTCGTGGCATGAATCACACTCTCCACCTCGTATTACAATCCCTTGTATCTATGACTCCTCTCTTATGATAGAGGAAGAACCACACACCCTCTTTGATCCTATAAAGTATCAGTAATTGTCATGTACCTTGCATAAAATAGGTACTTAATTAATATTTGCTCACAAAGTAAATTTATCAATTTAGTTAATGTGTCATATTTATACCAAGCTACCATGGAGACGACAAATTTAAAAAGTGTGGTTGGTAGAGAACACAATATAATTATTACTTTCTTTTATTTGGACTTTTATTTTTAGTGAATTTAAAGGTAGCATTAAATTTATTAGAAGCCAGGATACTTTAATGACTCACATTCACTTTAAAGTCAACTAAAATTCCTATATCTTTTCTATATAATACATTATAGTTCAAGACTCTCCTCTTTGTCTTTATAGAAATTGTTGTCTCTACCAAACTGTCAGTTTTAAACTTCATTTACAGGATTTGTCTCACAACTTCAATCTAGAGAACATATTTTTAAGTTCTGATTCCCAAGCGCAATTGTACATGATGTGCTTTGGTTTTGAACTGATTATGTCCACACACAGAGAAACTTCTCAACTTTTTACTCAAATTCTCTTTAGGTTTAAATGTACCTTAAGCCAGGAACTCAATCATCAGTAACAGTATATCTATACACTAGCCACTAGTAAATCTGGCAAAAAGGAAGTTAGGAGTGATTCTTTTTCATTTTAGTGATTACACCTTCTCCTCACTTGTTCACAAAAGAAATGCAAATCAAAACTACAACAAAATACCACTTCATACTGTTATAAAAAAAACATAAAATAAAAAGTATTGGTGAGGATGTGGAGAAATTGGAATGCTTGGGAATTGGCTGGCAGGAATATAAAATTCTGCAGGTGCTATAGGAAAATGATATAGCAGTTCCTCAAAAGACTATACATAGAATGACTATTTCATCTAACAGTTTCATTTGTGTGTATATATGCAAAAAAACCTTGAGAACGGCAACTCAGAACAGGTCTGTATACACCAGGGTTTATAGTAGTAGTATTTACAATAGCCAAAAGACAGAGACAATTCAAATGTCCATCAGTGGATGACAAGATGTGGAATATCCATACAACTGGATACCAGCCTTAAAAAGGAATGAAATTCTGCCACAAGCTATAACGTGGGTAAACTCTGAAGATATTATGCTAAGTGAAATAAGCCAAATGCAAAAAGACAAATATTGCATGGTTCTAATTATATGAGGTGGGCTGGGGATGTGGCTCAGTGGTGCCATACCTGCCTGGCAAGCACAAGGTCCTGAGATTGATCCCTGGTACCATAAAAAAAAAAACAACACAACTAATTATGAGATTCCTAGAGCAGTCAAATTTATAAAGAAAAAGCAGAATCAGTCTTGGAGCCAGCTGACCATGGACTGAAACCTCTGAAACCATTAGTTGAAATAAACGATTTTCTTTTAAGTTGTTTATAATGGGTATTTTGTCCCAGCAACAGAAAGCTGACTAATAAAGAAGGTGATGTAAAGATAGAGAAAAGAAGTTTGAAGATATTGGTGTTGAAGACCAGAAGAGTGAAATCACAAGCTGAGGAATGCCAGTAGCCACTGAAACTGAAAGAGACAAAGAACAGATTCTCCCCTAGAGGATCTGGAAGGAGCACAATACGCCAAACCCAGTGATTCTGATTTCAGAATTCTGCCCTCTAGAGAGACACATTTCTGTTATTTTAAGCCACCTTTGTTTGTGGTAATTTGTTACATATTAGTAGCCACATAAAACTAATAAAAGAGTGATCAATTTTGGAGCCCAGTAGAACCAATCTTAATACATACTCATCTATGCAGAGAAATAACAAAGAAAAGAATGGAAAGTGTGAAAGTTATCAGAATAAAAATGGAGTCATTTGTATCAACCCTAAAAAATAAAGCTAAGAGGTTATGAAGGCTAGAAATGTCCTTATGCATGACTGTCTGATGATAATTATCATAAAAATTCTGCCCAAATCACAACTTTCTACAATGGCTACTGCAACCTTATACAAAAAAATGCTTCTGCACAGATACCTGCCTAGCAACTGTGCAACCTTGAGTGAAGGGTGCCATCCTTGTTATTAATCTATGTGATTGAGGAGTATTGCTTTAAAATATTTTATGTAATCTTCTTTATTTTTGCCTTTAATAATGTCCCCTTGCCTTTACCTCCTAGAATACTCTTATAATTTACTATGGTATGCATATTCCTACTGCAATGTTATTCTATTCCCAAATAAACACCATTATTCTACAGGAATTCATACTGCACTGTGTAATGAGATAGGTTGATAACCTACTCTCTGTTCTCAGGAAATCACAATTGTACAGGTAATTAACATTTAAATTGTGGGAAGTAGGCTGTGATACCTAAATAAATACTATTATTGTAATGCAGAAAGAACCATTAATTAGAGGACAATTCACAGAGAACTGTACATTTATTGATATGAGGCATTTCATCATAATATGCCTTTTCAAGTTGAATACAGTGACATCTGCCTGTAGTCCCACCTACTCAGAAGACTGAGGCATGACGATTGCTTGAGCCCAGGAGTTCCAGGCCAGCTAGGGCACAGATGGGTGAGATTCCCATTTCAAAAAAATAAAATGAGTCATTCCTCAAAACAGAATCATTTCATAAAAGAAAAAATAAAGTCCTAATCAAACAACAAACACAAACTGAAAATAAAACTATAACCAGAAAGAAATGAGTCACAATATTTTAAACCACAGTAACCAATATTCCACAAAAAGTTGGGCCGGGGACTTAGCTCAGTGGTTCCGCTGCCTGCCTCGCAAGCAGAAAGACCCAAGTTCGATCCCCAGTACCAAA